GTGTGTTAGTGCGCGTCGCGTGTGTTAGTGCGCGTCGCGTGTGTTAGTGCGCGTCGCGTGTGTTAGTGCGCGTCGCGTGTGTTAGTGCGCGTTGCGTGTGTTAGTGCGTATTGCGTGTGTTAGTGCGAATCGCGTGTGTTAGTACGCGTCGCGTGTGTTAGTGCGCGTCGCGTGTGCTAGTGCGCGTTGCGTCGCGTGTGTTAGTGCGCGTCGGGTGTGTTAGTGCGGATCGCGTGTGTTAGTGCGCGTCGCGTCGCGTGTGTTAGTGCGCGTCGCGTGTGTTAGTGCGCGTCGCGTGTGTTAGAGCGCGTCGCGTGTGTTAGTGCGCGTCGCGTGTGTTAGTGCGCGTTGCGTGTGTTAGTGCGCGTCGCGTGTGTTAGTGCACGTTGCGTCGAGTGTGTTAGTGCATGTTGCGTGTGTTAGTGCGCGTCGCGTGTGTTAGTGCGCGTCGCGTGTGTTAGTGCGCGTCGCGTGTGTTAGTGCACGTTGCGTCGCGTGTGTTAGTGCGCGTCGCGTCACGTGTGTTGGTGCCTGTTGCGTGTGTTAGTGCGCGTCGCGTCACGTGCGTTGGTGCGCATCGCGCGCGTTAGTGCATGTTGCGTGCGTTAGTGCGCGTCACGTGTGTTAGAGCGCGTCGCGTGTGTTAGTGCGTGTTGCGTGTGTTAGTGCGTGTTGAGTGTGTTAGTGCGTGTTGAGTGTGTTAGTGCGTATCGCGTGTGTTAGTGCGCGTCGCGTGTGTTAGTGCGTGTTGCGTGTGTTAGTGCGCGTCGCGTGTGTTAGTGCGCGTCGCGTGTGTTAGTGCGCGTCGCGTGTGTTAGTGCGCGTCGCGTGTGTTGGTGCGCGTCGCGTCGCGTGTGTTAGTGCGCGTCGCGTGTGTTAGTGCGCGTCGCGTGTGTTAGTGCGTGTTGAGTGTGTTAGTGCGTATCGCGTGTGTTAGTGCGCGTCGCGTGTGTTAGTGCGCGTCGCGTGTGTTAGTGCGTATCGCGTGTGTTAGTGCGTGTTGCGTGTGTTAGTGCGTGTTGAGTGTGTTAGTGCGTATCGCGTGTGTTAGTGCGCGTCGCGTGTGTTAGTGCGTGTTGAGTGTGTTAATGCGTATCGCGTGTGTTAGTGCGTGATGAGTGTTTTAGTACGTATCGCGTGTGTTAGTGCGTGTCGCGTGTGTTAGTGCGTGTTGAGTGTGTTAATGCGTATCGCGTGTGTTAGTGCGTGATGAGTGTTTTAGTACGTATCGCGTGTGTTAGTG